CCCCCTCCCTCCCTCTCTCCCCCCCTCTCTCTCTCTCTCTCTCTCTCTCTCTCTCTCTCTCTCGTTCAAACATAAAACACACACGCTTGAGCGATAAGTTCATCTAAATTGGAAGAGTCGTGAGGACAAACGTTGACCAAGCGTCACAAACGGGCAGATACACTCGAATACTTTTCTTTCCAACACGCAACAAGTACAGTTACTCATACACTTACATACACAATATATAAACTTACACACAAATGAATACATACACACACACTCACCCACACACCACCCCCTCTCCAACCCCCACCCCACCCCCCACCCACATACATACACACGCACTTGCACAAATACACACATCGACAGTCTTGGCTGGAGAACTTGTGGGATAAAGAAAGGTTTTTCTATGTGAGTAGATCTCGGAAAAGGACAAGAATCAGTTGGGACAACAAACTCATAACAGCAATTTTTCCCATGCCCCCCCTCCCCCCGACCGACCTCCTTAACCCCCAACCTCGCTGCATGAAAACATACGGCATGAGGAAACACAATTCAGAGACGTTTCTGCGACAATTCTTTCTACCCCCCACCCCTCTTCCCCTACTTCATTTACAATCAGGAAAACATTTCGTTCATGTGATTAGGCTACAAACAACTCACGTCAAACGAGAACAACATTTGGATCCAACAAAAGCGATCCGCAACAGCAAGACTTCAGCAGGATTTTAGCGCGCTCAGTTTTACCAGAGATTTAGAACAACCGAGTCGAGTGGATTTAACTTCATGAGCGTACATTCTTTACCCCTACTTCCAGAAAGTGTTGTGCCTATTAAAACTAGATCTACTACCGTTTCTTCATGCTACACCAATCGGTAAGAGTTGTGATTCCCTGCAATACGACGAGGTTGAAAACCTCAGAACATGAAGTCCAAGGGCCTTGTATCCGAGGGCAAGGAGTTAAACGATGGAGAGGAAAGTGGCTTCGGGAGCAGCAGTGATTCTGACTCAGATTGCACTGACGACAATAATTTCAGCTATTCGAACATTCACACCACAAGAAATGATGACTCCATGACAAAAACTCCAGATGGCGTGACAACTCCAGATGGCGTGGCAAGTCCAGATGGCGCGACAACTCCAGATGGCGTGGTAACTTCAGACAGCGTTGCAACTCCAGATGGCGTGGTGACTTCAGACAGCGTGGCAACTCCAGATAGCGACGCCAAACCAAGGAGTCAGAAAGGGGACCCCGGGGAAACTGAGCCAAACACATCTGGGTCAGTGTTGACAAGGTACGAAAATTGCTTTTGTTACTGTTTGCCTGCTTAGTATATACGAGGGAAATGTAGCCGAGAGGTAGGGTGCTCGCCTCTTATGCTAACGCACCGGGTTCGAACCCCATCTGTCAACGTATATCTATTCTTCTTTCTTTTTAGTTTTCTTCTCTTTTCCCTCTCCTTTATTTCATCTTCTTTCTAAGTTAAACTATCTCTCAATCACTCATTCATTTGATCTCCTTCTTCCTCCATACCCCTGGTCTTAAGGTCGGTAAGACTGAGCACCCTGTCTATTTGGAAACGGAAGAAAAATCTCGGAGGGCCTGTGTGCTCGTTGCGTACGTTTAAGATATGTTGGTGATTGAAAATCGTCTTTTAAAAAGCAAATGGCCATTTATAGTATACACTCAGGCCATTCTTGAAAGTTAAAGACATGGGTCTAACTTTAAAGGTCAGTTTTAAGGGAAGGACTCCATGTTCGTGGGAAAGATTTCAAAGGTGGTGTTTATGGGTTTGTTTTCAAGAGTGAAGTTTATTGGTTACATTTCAAGGGCGAGGTTCATGATATAGTTTTACTGAATGGGATCAATTGGCAAGATCGTAAGGTTGAGGTATAGGATTTAGAATCCAAATGGGAGTTATACAGTAGATTTTATGGTTGATGTTTAAGGGCAAGATTTCTTTTCAGTGTTTTTTTCCTTTTAGTTTTACGCTCTTGAAATGTAAATGGGTTATAAAAGTGCCGAGGGTTATGGGAGTAACTAGACAGTAACATACAAAGCAAAGGAGGAAAGATAGGGACGACAGACGTTCGATAGGAATGAAAGAGCAAATCATACCACAGGGCTCTCGTGGCCTAGAGGTTAAGGAGTTGGCCTCTCATTCAAAGGTCCCGGGTTCGAATCCAGGTAGAGACTGAAAAGGTTTCTTCTCTAAAATGGTCTCCTTTCACCTTCTTTCCTGCTCTCTAGCAATGTTTTGTCGTCTACTTTTGTCTCCTCTTTCTGCCCCCGCCTCCTCACCTCTTTTGCCCTCTTCTCTGGGCCCCTGACTCTTTCTGCAGCCTTTCTACTGCTACCCCTTGGCTCCTTCTTACTGCTGTCTTTCTGTCCCCTGATCTTCTGGAAAGAAAGATTCTACACCTAACCTTCTCGGACAAGGGCAAAAAGTGTGCAAGTTGCGCACGTTAAAGATCCCTACGTGGTCTAAAATCGATAAGAGTAGGCTTCGGGTGCCACCGGACAAAATTCAAAATTTCCTACCAACTGAAAATATGTGTGTCCCGTGCTCTCATATAACTTTATGCAGTTGCCGGCGCCGTAAAACACTTACCCCCCCCCCAAAAAAAAACAAAACAAAAAAAACAAAAAAACAAAACAAACACCCATACCAGAGAGTCCGCCAAACTTTCACGCGCAAGATTTTAAGGGTGAGATTTTGTGGCAATTCAACAATGGATTGAGCAGTCAGCTTGCCAAAGGTGCAACTATTTCACAGATTGGAAGATGAGGAATCCCGTAACGAGCGACAACTATGAAATAGACAGAGGGTTAGAGATAGTTATGGCTAAGGTTAGGGTTAAGGTTTGCGTGTGGGGTACGGCTACGGTTGGGGTTAGGGTTTGCTCCCTCTTTACTGTGCTTGCTGCGGTGGTCGTTCGTTGCTTAAGTCCTTCCCTGAGAACTCCAAAATATCAGTGTAACGGCCAGATAAATTACCGACCCACAGCCTTCACGATAAACTAAAGAAGCCACCGTACTTTCCAGTCATAATCGGACACAGCTGAAACCTCTCCTTATAATGGTCCATGTTTTACGTCCCTAACAACATAATTCATGTTATTGTGGAATCAGGCTGTTTCGACCCTGGGTCAGGCTGTTTCGAACCTGGGTCAGGCTGTTTCGACCCTGGGTCAGGCTGTTTCGACCCTGGGTCAGGCTGTTTCGAACCTGGGTCAGGCTGTTTCCAGCCAACCACACTTCTTTATAAGAAGAGACAAAAATGATGTATACATGTAGTGGATTATATCGTACGGCATATGTACATGCACGATCACCTCCCCCTCCTCAACA